TCTGTTTTTCTATCCTCTTTCCAATTTAGTAAATCACAAATATTGTCCCAGGCAATATTTGTCCCTATCTTAGCACATTTCCCTCCCCACCTTTCCAGCCTGCCCCTCTCCCTCCCTCTCTCTCCCTCTCCCTCCCTCTCTGTCTCTCTCTCTCTCTCTCTCCTCTCTCTTTTGTTCTCCTAAGAATTTTACCCCTTTTTCATTTTTGTTTTGAGACATGGTCTCACCGAGTTGCTCAGGCTGGCTGAGACTTGTAAAACCCTCCTGCCTCAGCCTCCCCAATAGCTGGGATTACAGGTGTGCGGCACCACGCCCACCTTCAGCCTGGCCCTGGCGGCCGCCTGAGCATAGCCCTCCATGCCAGACAGGCTCCGCGCCTTTGAGAAAGTTACATAACCCTCTGTTTTGGGTCTCTTGTGTGTAAAATGGGGTTTGGAGCCACTGTGACCTCATAAGGGTGCTGTGGAGACTGATGAGTCCGTGCGGAGAGTGCTGGGACGTGTGCCCTCTTCAAGGCAAGCGTGGGCCGCGCTGAGCCATCGTCACTGTCACCAGCGCCATCACCACCATCACCATCGCGTGCCTTCTGCTACCGTCCCGCACACACATGACACCATCAAGCGGTTTTGAACAGGGAGGTGACACAATCAACCAGCCACATCTGACGGTGGCGGCCAGCAGTGTGGCCACACGAACAGTGGGAGGCCTGGCCACAGCCCACACTGTCCTGGCGACTAGAGAGAGGCCGGGAAACTCGGGCGTCTGCTGAGCCACTCCGGGATGGAGAGAGCGTCCAATTTCGCACTGCCCCCACTCTGACACACAGTTTACACACGGTTCGCTCTGCACATGGGGAAACTGAGGCCAAGAGAGGCAAGCAAGGGGCAGCGTGGTTAGGGCAGAAGCTCTGCTTATGGACCCCGGGGAGCTGGGTCTGTGTTCTCTCCCGGAAAATGGGCACCCATCTCATAGGGCTGTTGCCGTTTCTCCCTCATTAGCACTCTGATGGTCCAAAGCACACACAGAGGTTCCTGTGATCTCTGGCAGCGGGTACACGGAAGGCCTGGGCACCTCCATGCAGGTGCACCCCCTCGGAGGACACACGCTCGGCCACGGTCACGCGGACATCTTCCCACCGGGCCCCACGGCCCTGCTGGCCAAGGCCACCGGCACGAAGCTGGGGCCGCTGCTTCCTCACCGGCCT